TCAGGAGGGGAGGGGGAAAGGCGGGGAGGATCAGGACGTCCCGGATCGCCTCTGTAGTCGGGCCGGTCACAATCATACAGCTGCGGTGACCTCTAAACAGGCAGATTAGACTGCCGCGCCAGGGGCCTTCCGGGGTCCTAGCGAGGAGGAAGCGGCCGTCTAATCTGCCTGTTAGAGGCCGCCGCCTGATTGTGACTCGGTCGGATCTATTTCCATTGGTGGTCCCTGAACCTGGGCTCGCGTGCCAGCAGAGAGGGCCCCGCGTGTCCTCCCTGGCCATAGGTCCGCCGCCACCACTGCCCTAGGAGCTCTTTTCCATAATGTGCTAGAATGGACAGCTAATTATTATTATAGAAGACTTACCAAGCAAAGCGATCTCCTCCGGCACTGGGGTGGATGCACCAGCAATGGAGAGGAACGCTGACTTCACCCAATCTTCCTCTGGGTTCGGAGTCCTCTGCCTCTTGATTGGCCAGGCCCAGACAATGCAACTCCCACACCTGTGCACTGGAGTTACTTCATCCCAACACTATACACTGATCAGCATATGTGTGGCCCAGTGTACAGAGAAAAAAGTGCTGACAGGCAGAGAGAAATCTATATGACAGAAGAGAAACAGCTTCTTCACAAAACCCCCCCAAAAAACTACCTGTCAGCCCACTTACACTTTGCAGCAACACACAGTGTATTAACACATGTATTAACCTGCATTACCACAACGCATAGCAATACTCCTCTACTTGGCAGCGAGTGCCAGACATTGCAGGACAGCCAAGTTTGGGGGACTTTATGAGGACCATAGATGAGTGGAGAAACAAAAGGAACATTTATTCAGAGAGGGAGAAGACTTCAGTCTGTTCCTTATAGGGCTGCAACAACTAATCGACAGTCGATGATTGAAAAAGTTGTCAACTTTTTCAATCATCAATTAATCGGCTTCCAATTGATTGGCCCTGTTCACAGCTCCACACCTCCTCCCCACCTCACGCTCGCCGCTGCTGCTAGACCCGCCCTGCTGCATCCACACGCCGCACCTCCTCCCCGCCTCACGCTCACCGGCCGCCCACATCCACCGTCGGCACAGGGACGCGGGGAGAAGTAAGGAGGAGCAGGTGTAGGCGGATGACAGCCACCGATAGACAGGCCCGATCTCAGAAACAAGTTGCTGGAAGACTGCTCAGGTAAGCCTGCACTTTCCCACACATGGTGCTCTATAATGTATTGCTGGGATTTGTATTCCTCTATAGCTGATGGTACATTGTGCTGCACTGTATAATATACAGAGCAATATACCATTAGATATAGAGGAATACAAATCCCAGCAATACATTATACACTGTATGTATAATGTATTGCTGGGATTTGTTGCATTCCTCTATAGCTGGTGGTATTCTGCATTGCGATGTAAAGAGGACTACAAATCAAGGAATAATACATTATACAGCGCAATGCAGAATACCAACAGCTATAGAGTACAACAAATCCGAGCAATAATACATTATACAGTGGTGCAATCCCGAATACTACTAGCTATAGAGGACTACAAAACCCAGCAATAGTACAATATAGAGCGCAATGCAGAATACTGCCAGCTATAATGTACTATTGCTGGGATTTGTTGTATTCCTCTATAGCTGGTGGTATTCTGCATTGTGCTGTATAATGTACTATTGCTGGGTTTTGTAGTCCTCTATAGCCGATGCCATTCTTCATCATTGCTGTACCACACTTTTTTCTTTTTTTTACTTCCACCGCTCCAAGCTTGCTCCTGTGATGGACTGCAATCTCAATTCAAACTAGTAGTCCCATCACTGGAGCCATTTTTAAAAATGTATTTTAATTTTATTTTTTATTCGATTAACCAATTAATCGAACATAATAATCGGCTAACTAATCGATTTTGAAAATAATCGTTAGCTGCAGCTCTAGTTCCTTAGGCTTCTTACGCTGAGGAAAATGGGTGCTCTTGCCAGGGGTCCAAAGAGGCTCCGTCCCTTGAAAGCCATGCAGAGAGAATGTTTCTTACACAAGGGCTCCGCAGTCCAGCACTTTAGCCAAAATGCCCTGGGAGTATGTATGGACAATATACATGTGGGAAATGACATGGGAGACTTCCAGCAGACTGTTATTGCTGAAATGTAATGCTACAGCCACCCTTCTACACGTTCAATAAGCAAGGTATCAACTGCAGCAGACATTAGATTCTTTTTTAAGGGATGATGACCAGTCAGACCTGGGTTGGGAAAGTAAAGTTACAGCCAAAATCAGGTGAAGGGCAGGACCTGCGAGCAAGAATGAAGCTCTAGAAAGGACCTCCAGCCTCTTAATCAGTTGGGTCCTGTAGGACTGCCACGTCCTCTACCAGAATAGTAAGCACCTTATTAAGGTGGGACATGGCCAGGTGCATGGTGGGAATGGACCACTTCTGCACAAAATGCACACAAAGCAAATAAGTGCTTGGGAGGAGCAAAAAACTTATCAGATGGCTTCTGATGTCCACAGATATATCGTTGGAAAAGTGCTTCCAACAGGAAAGTATTTGTAAATGAGCCAAGATAGGAAACCGCACTGGTAGGAGCAACAGGCTGATCCTCTAGTTTCAGGGTGGTGAGCACTACATTACTAAGATCCAGTCTCTTAACTTGAGAATAAAAGCAGTAGACTGACTCATTAGGGGGTAAGCTCTTCAGTCAAAGACAGGAGTGACTCCAAATCAGAGGACCAATGGCTCTGATGCAGCTAGGGACATGGGAAAATCAGATAGAAAATCTGCAGAAGAGAGTGTGGGAGCATGCATGTGGCCTCTGTGATTAGAGTCATGACCATGGTAAAGACTCAGCCAAAAGGGACAGAAGATTAAGCCACACTTAACGCAGCTAAATGAGATTTAGAGGATGATAAAGACTCCAAGAGCAGAGGGCAACATGACTCCAGGCTGCAGACATCAGCACTGCCAGTAGACGTGCTGTAAGAAGCCCTGGAGCAGTTAGCAGAAAGTGAGCGGATGAAAGTTCTTGTGTAAGCAGAAGCAGCAGAAAGAGGCTTCCATGATGTTGGTGCAGTTAGCAGAAAGTGAGCAGATGAAAGTTCCTGTGTCCTGTGCAAGCAGAAGCAGCAGAAAGAGGCTTCCACGATGTTGGCCCTGAGCATTAATCCCTTCCACAGCAAAATTCAGCAGGAACAGGCAATAAAGGAGAGCTACGTAAAAGAGACAGCTCCCGATGCTCAGCCCGACCAGCCTACTCACTGAGTGAATCTTCAGAGACGGGGCAGCAACTCTGTTCTGAAGTTTCATCAGAACAGAGTCTGGAAAGCTTCCCCCACATGTTGAGAAGAGTCTTGATTGAAGAAAAAAAGTTGAAGTGTAAAAAAGCGGTGGAAAAAGAAAATTCGGCTTTAGCAGCAGAGCTGAGGAAAAGACCTCCATCCTCCTAGGACACTAGCAAAAAACTGAGCCATGGTAGTAGGAGGTTGGCCTTTAGTTTGTGTCCAATTTTCCTGTAAGGCAGCAGTATAACCCAAATGTTAAAGACTTCATATGTAGCCATATCTGACTTCTGAAAACTTCCTAGTCATCTGGAAGTTATGCCGATCTGACTTTTTTTTTTTAAACTTTGATTTGCTGCACCAAAGCAAGTAAGCAAAGTTATAACTCCTGACGTACAAACATGTATGGGTGAGTTACTCAAAAGGACTGAAGTCACTGGATTACCATGACAGGCAAGCATCTAAAATGTTTAAGTGATGTCTGTAGGCTATAGACCAGGGATGTAAGGAGGGTATACCTGAACATTACATATACATGACCTGCCCAATAAGTGTACAACAAATATACCTGTTGTAAGTGCGATGAGGTCACTTTGTCTTGTCCTGGACTTTCCTCTTTAATAGGATTTTCATTAAACTCGACATGAAAGATGTAAAATATAAAACCGTATAAAGCAGGTCCAAGGCCATTGCACAACCCTCGAATTCCTGTAATCATTCCTTGAACAACACCTGCAGAAACAGTCACAAATGGCAAGATTTGATAAATTAGACACTAGAATACATGCAGAGACTAAGGTGCGGGCCTGGGAACGCCACAGCTTTTCTGTGCAGGGAGCTCAGTACATGATCTCCCTCTGATCTCCTCCCCATTCTCAGATTGCAGGAGTAATGTATATATTATATCACTTCCTCATTCAGCTGTCACTCTCAGCTACAGAAGCCGGAGAGAAGCTGGTGAAGCAGATCTCCATCAGTTTTTTTGGGGTCCCTAGGAGACCCCAGATGTGTCAATAAAGAGGACCTGTTGCTGTAATTTGATATTACATAGGGGGATTCTTAGCCCCTTATGTGATAACAATAAAGTGTAAAAAAAAAAATGTTAAAGTCCCCCACATGCAAACATGCGTCGGGTGCACCTATGTAGATTGCACAAATTGCACCGCAAATTATCAATAATTTTAGGGCCACTAATCACTGATGACACTAAACTGATGAGCGGTAAAAGCTTTTAAAGCGTCGCCTATGGCCAATTTTGGGTGTGGTCGTTTGAGATTTCACAGGGCACGCTGAATTTTAAGGCTTGATGTGTTTGGTGTCTATTTAAACGGCATGACCCCCGTCTTTTATATTTTACCAAAAAATTGGGTAATAAAATCTTCTGTATTTTTTTTTTATTATATAGTAAAAAATAAAAATCTCAGTGGTTAATAAACACCATCAAAAGAAAGCTCTATGTGTCCCCAAAAAACGGTATAAAATTAATTTCAGTGCAGCGTTGCATGACGGAATAAATGTCAAAGTGTTGCAGCGCGGAATACTGAAAAATGGCCTGGCCAGCAAGGGGGTTTAACACCCCGGTCATCAAGTGGTTAAAGACAACTTCATAAAAGCTTCTCACTGCAGTCTAAAGGCCGTGACACACTGCACGCGAAGCCGTGCAGAGCAAAGCAAAGCTATCCGGCACGGAGCTTTGCGTGCAGTGTGTGAGCTGAGTGCATTCAGATGATTGACAGCACCTTCAGCCAATCGGCTCGTCCGTAACAACCTGCCAGCTGTCGCATCGCGACGTGCTGGTTTATTCACGCGAGCCGATTGGCTGAAGTTGAAATTGTTCATCTCGGCACGCTCAGCTCCGCGAGCTCTCGCAAGCTGAGGTGCCGAGCAGAAAATTACATGACACACTGCTCGCAAAGGCAGCGCGCCCCCGCTCCGCGCTGCTTCGCGTGCAGTGTGTCACGGCCTTTAGTGGGACAAGTGTGATCTGCATTTTACTGAACTCTGTAGGCCTCTTGCCATATTTACCGTCACTGGGAATGTTACAGCAAACTCTGTTCTAATTGTAATTTATTCCATGACGACAACTACTGAAACTGAATCAGGACCAGGAGTGTGCAGGGAGAACAGAGATTGTGCTGCAGTGTTCCCAGGGAAAGAAACCACAGATGTAAGTGTACCATACAGATTACACTCATTTCCCCAAACATGGATGACAGACATTTTGTGGAATATAATGTATATTCTTTCAGACTATTAAAAGTTGTGCGTTTAATTTCCATACAATAAATCAGACAAGTCTACCCACCTTGCTGGTCAGCATCCGCAGTACGAGACACCAGAGCACTCACTGCAGGGAATGTAATACTGGACATGGCTGCCACAGCTCCAGCAGCCCACATCATCCTGAACAAGTATGGATCAGAAACAATCAATTATACTTACAATGGTATGTGTGCTTTTTATAGTAAAATATATCCTACCACCTTCCCTAGCATGCAGCAATCGTAGCCATTTAAAGTAGATGTAACCCCCAACTGCTAAAAGCACTGTGCAACATAATCCATTATACTTTAATTTTTTTTAAATGCGGTTTTCACATTTTCCATGTCTGCGGCTGATCTCCTCCTGCCTTTTTCAGGCACTTCTAGTCTAAAGCATTCCCATTGTGGCAGCTGCAAATCTTTGCTCTAGACCGGCTTCCTAAAAGTGAGAACTGTGCATTATCACTATGCAATGTATGTCATCATGGCCACCTATAGTCTCCATCAGGGGTAGCAAGATCACAAATGGGGACAGTTGTCACTCCCATAAACAGAAGAGCCTGAACAGTGACATTGAAAAGGTGGCAATAAACTCAGGCGGTAAATCTTATAAATACCTTCAAGTACCTAAGTAACGAAAATGTATCTTATTTGTGCTCACTCCCGTGATAGACTACAATCTCAATACAAATTAGTAAACTAAGCGTGAGATTGTAGTCCATCACAGGGGGGAGCTTGGAGCGGTGTCTGCTTTACAACACACAAGGAACATGGGGAACACAAGTAGCCCCCCTCCAGAAGGAAGGAGTGTCAGCACAAATTCAGAGATGATTTGAGGATCTGCCGCCGAGTGATACACACAAGTTAATTTTTTGTTAATGGTTAAGGTACTTGAATGTATTTTCAATAGGGATGCAATGATACCGATGATTATTTGCTCCTGATGCTTATCCCGATACCGGAACTCGTCCCCCGGCTTCCCGATTGGCCAGAAAGTCATCTCCATGCTTCCTCGTCACCAGGTAACATGGAGCCAACTTCCTGGCTAATCAGGAAGCTGGGCGGCGAGTAGTTACACGTCGCCCGGCTTCCCAGGTAATCAGGAAGCTGGGCAGAGAGTCATCACACGCCACCCGGCTTCCTTAACCTCCCTGGCGGTGTGATTTTAAATTTTTTTCATGTCATTTTTCGGTCTATTCTTTTTTTTTCGAATTTTTTTCGTCTTTGTCGTTTTTTTTATTATATCCCGCTGGTTCCGCCCCCCTGTGACGCGTACGCTCGCAAGCCCGGAACCCGGCATCCCGCGGCTCGGGGGACAAGGTAAGTAAAGGCTTTGTGGCTTTCCCGAGTGAAGCTCGGGGTTACCGCTTATGGTATGGAAAAGTAACCCCGAGCTACACTAAAAAAAAATAAAATAAAAAAAAAATGTAGTAAATATCGGTACTCGTACACGTATCACTCAGTATCACTCAGTCACACACATCCCTGATGGAGACTACAGGCGGCCATGATGACATACATTTTATACATTTAAATGCACACTGGGTATCAATTATTAAACGTTCAAAATATAATATAGTACTTTATTCTGTAAAAAAAAATAGGTATTGTTTGAATTTAAACAAATGCAAAAATTACTGTATACCAAAATAAAATTTTCTCCTGACATGAATAAAATAAATTGGAAATTATTCATCTAATGAAAGCGTGAGCAAACCAGAGGTTCAGTAGAAGACAGATTATCCTGATTTGACACCAAGTTCAGGGTGGATAATAATGCAAAGACATGGGCGGGCAGGTTTGCCTAGATCTATTTGACCCATATTGTCCAATCCACTTACTCCCAAATCTAGCTTACGTCAGTATTTTTTGTTGCTGTGTTCATCACCACCCTTGATTATACATGGGAAAAGAGGACAAACCAGTCTACCCAGACTGCCCTAGTTTGAGCATAAGCTAATAAGGTTCAGGGTGAAATGATCAAGGTTTGTTCATCTCCACTTGTTTGCAGTAGCCCAACTATCACTGCTTTAAAAAATAAAAACAAGATTAGTTCTTATTTACTGCATATTGATAAACCCAGCAAGTGCCTCAGGCACAACAGCACACAGGGAACTTGGCTGGCTTCATTGGCACACCATGCGGCTGGTTTCTCCAGTTTCAGGATGTGCTTTATTTGCATTAGCAAAGACTGTGACATCATAGGTGTTGTGTGCTGAAAGGTTTTTTCCAGTAATTAGCTACAAGAAGAGTATGTACAACTCAGCACTGTAAATATGTCTTGTTCTAGCAGTAAGGTAATGGAAAACTTACCAAGGTTCTGATCCAAAGCCATACCAAGCCAACTGCAATATTTGGAATCCCAGACCAAGGAGAATTGTATTTTTGTTTCCAATTGACCTCATGAGAAAACTCAAGACAATGGTCTGTATAAAAAAAATATATAACACACAAGTTGTAAATGTTGACTAAGATGCTAAAATCTACCATATCCAGAGTGGCCTATGGCAGAAGGCTTTCAATGCATTACAGTCAAATATGAACACATGTAATTCACATTAATCCTATCATTGAATGGTCAACTGTTCGGCTCAGCTGGACAAAACAAAAGTAACTGGCACAGGCTGTATGGGTCCTGCAGAGCCGAATCTCTCTAATCTTAGGCAATTCATTATCCATTACTATGTGATAAATCAAGCCTGTCATTTGAACTAGGTATATCAAATCTATATTTTTTTTTTTTACTGCTTAAGAGCAGTCCAAAAAGATGGCTGCAAGTAAATCTTTAAAATCACTCGTCATTCAACAGATAGGCTGGGCTGTTAACATGGTAGGGGCAGGACCTGGCATCAAGTCAGTGGAAACAAACACCATGGACAGTATTATCTATGACTGAAAGTACTGCAGATACACAAACAACAAACTGGACCATTCACATCAGGGCGATTGCAGATCAGCGCTGATTTCAAAAGGGATGTTTTGGGAGTTTTTAATTGCGTTTCAGAGCTGAAACGCACTTAAAAAAACCACCCAAAACCATCAGCGCAGTTCCATTGAAAGCTGTATGGAAAACGCACTGATCAGTGCGGCAAAAATAGTGCAGGGAGCAGTTTGGGTGGGAAGGGGGTATTCGGATCGCGCTGAGCCAAATCAGAGTGGCCAAACTGCCCCAGTGTGAACGGGGTCTTACTTGCATGAAGCTTTTTGCACTGGATGATAAGGCTAACAATCATTTTAAAGAATTCCGTTTTAAACCATTTGCATCTGAGGTAGGCGCTTAAAAAAACAAAAACAAAAAAAAACAGGGAACATGACCCTGAGGGTTTAGGAACTTTGTTCACATGGGCTTTAGCGTGTACTGGAGCAGTCTGACCATCAAGCTTTTGAAAAGTATTTGTTATGCTTTGAGCAAGCTTCAAGTAGCTTTGCTGAAGCCTTTAAAGTACCCTTCATCTCCAGTTTGGGAATGTTAAACACAGATCAGAGTGCTGATTTTCACTTTAAATATTCCGCTTACAGACTTAACAAGCTTCTAGTAGTGCTGAGGCCTCCTGATGCCCCCTAGCAACTAATTTTGAGCGACACTCAGCACAAATATTAAGATTTGTGTTTTGTGAAGGGTACTTCAAAGGCTTTGACAAAGCTTGCTTTATACACTGCTCTTATACTAGCTGAAGCCCATGTTAGCAAGGCTTAAAAGGCCGGTCTGAACCAGAGGAAAAAAAAAAAAGAGAAAATACTGCTTCTAAGATGCAATGGGGGCCTGATCTATTGTGTAAAGGGAGGGGTGGACACAACATGCTCTGGTATCAGACACCATATTACACATCAGTTGCTCTCACGTTGCATGTGAAAGAGCTCCCCATTTCATTATACCGTGTTTCCCCCGAAAATAAGACAGTGTCTTATTTTTATTTTTTTTCACGAAAAAAGACACTAGGTCTTATTTTCGGGGGATGTCTTACCTGGCTGCTGCTGTCCACTCTGCCGTCCAGGGAGCCACAAACAGAAACACAGGTGGGCGGGCATGCTTGCGGGCGGGGCGTGTCTGGCAGAGGGGCGGGAGGGAGCTGCCTCTGCTCTGATCCATTACAAGGGTTGGGGTCAGGGCTCTGTGCAGGACACTCGAGTTCCTCCACCAAGCTGGTCACACTATGTCTGTTTGGAGCTGGCT